GCGCTGGCCCCGCCCCACGGCGTCCCGCCCGCCCAGTCGCGGGAACTGCTCTCCGTGTCAGGAGGCTGCCTGCGCCGAGTCCGACGTGGCTGGAGTCCGTCCGCTTCCCGTCTTCCCAGGTGCCGTCCTCGCTTCGGCGGGGCCATGCCAGGCAGCCGGCAGCCGAGGGTCCGCTCGGGGAACCAGCCGTGCCCCGCGCCCGCCATGGAGCCGGCGGGCGGCGGAGCCTGGGCCCACAGCCGCGCCGCGCTCGCCCGCCTGGAGCAGCTGCTGCGCTGCTCGCGCTGGTAAACACGGGCCGGGCGAGGGTGGCCGCCGCGTGTCGGGGCCCGGGGTCTTTCCTTTCCACGCTTCTCGCCGCCTGCTTTCCGGCCGGCGGGCAGTGGGTCTGCCCAGCGATCCGCGGTTTACTGTCCCCTCCCGTTCCCATCCCGTCCCGGAGGTTTTCCCGCCTCTGGCTTCAAACCGAGCTCAACTCAAATCGTTGGTGGTGGAGCTTTGGGCCCCGCCCCCGAGCCTGGGCCCCGCGCTCTCGCGCCGGGCCCCGCCCCCCGTGTGTGTGAGTGCGGGACTGAGCCGACGTCCCGTTAGGGTGAAGCGGCGGCCGTTCTGGGCTGGGTAGTCCTCGACATTTTCCTTATAGCTTCTTTTAGGATGGGAGGGATGGATGAAGTGTGGGAGACCCTCGTTAGGGATAGATAAAAGGTATCAGGGTGATGGGCACTGCTATTCTGTTTTTCTTTTCCTTGTTTTGGTCAAAAGACTGGCTTGGGGTGTGGAAATTGGCTCAGTGAAAGACTTTGCTCAATGCGCAAAGTCCTGGGTTCGATCTTTAGCACCAAAACAAAAACCCAAAACGTACAGGCCTGTAATCTCAGCACTCTGGGAGGCTGAGGCAGGAGGGTCTTAAATTCCCACCCCAGCCTGGGCAGTTTATAGGTTTAGGAATACATGGATCACAAAAAGGGTTGGGGTGTAGTTTAAGGGTAGAGCGCTCCTGGGTGAACCCCAGTACCCCCCACCCCCAAATACTGTCCAGGTATTCTAGTGCTGCACGGCTGAGATACATCTGTAGCCTGCTCAGGGTTATGCCTTTGGAAGACATTATCACGAGTGGTACTTTTTGCTTCATTTCCTGTAGCTTTTTCCTGTGTAGACCCCAAGGTTCATAAAACTCAGCAAAGGCCTTTGTTTTCGTTGCTTCTGAAAGTATCTAGTGAGCGCCTGTTGCATGCACAGCTCAGTATTTCTGCATGGAGATCATCCTGGTGGGTTTTCTTTCTGCTGTAACTATCAACTGTGTTCCCTTTTTGGAGTTTGTTTTGATTGTTTTACCCAATTTTCAACTTGGAGTTACTCGTTCAGCAGCTTTTTCTTTAAAAATGAAAGGGTTTAACTGTCACCATGCTTTGCAATTACATTTTGTTTTACAAAACGTCCTGTTTGACAAAATGGCATCATTACACTGCTTGGGAAAAGTGGTATTTTTGTTAGAGTGAGTACATGAAGGCATTGTGAGTTGTGTATGTATTTCCAAAACACATGGATTATCCATCTGAGAATAAAAATTTAAAATTGGCACTTCTGGTTTCAGTAACAAACACAATAGTAATTCACACGTTAATAGTTCAACAAAAGTTAGACATTCAGATGGCATATTTCTGTACAGAAACATAGTGTTCCACTTTGACTGTAGTCAGACTCCCTGAGTTTAGTGGCCAGCTTTGACACTATTGAATGGGCCAAGTTATTCTTTTTTCTGTGTAATTATTAGTTCGTTCTCCTGGATGGATTTATTATTAATAATAAATGTACAGAGGACCTACAAAGTGCCAGACTCTATTCTGGCTATTGGGGAGTTGTTGGTGAACAAAGAAGAAAAAATCCCAGCCTTTATAGAGTTTCTATTCTGTAGGAAGGAAGGAACTAAGTAAAAGTACATGTAGAAATTATTGGCATCATTGTCATAGAGTAAACAATAACTAATAGGAGTTATAAAAATACAAACAGAGGTGGCTTCTGCTTACTGATTTGGAAGGGAGCAGGGAATCTATCCACATATTTCTAGATTAGCCTAAGAGCAGCAAAGCTAGTTCCACTTTTTAATCACTTGCCAAATGTTTTTCTACCTTCTGTAATGAGTTGGTAGTAAGAGCCAGAAGACTTGGACGTAGACAGGTAAGCACCCCAGTCTTAATTTATCTCATCCAGTTGGCTAGAGAAAAGTATTGAATGCCAATGTGTTTTAGTGTATGAACCAGTGATGGATGAACTAAGTTTTAACCATTTCTTAGAATGTACATTTAGGCTTTGCAGGCCACAAATAGTTCCTATTTCTTTAAATCCCTTAAAAATATAAAAACTACTGTTTGCTTAAGGGTTGTGTGAAGAGAACCTGCTGGATTGATTTGGCCCACAGGCTTAACTTATACTTTTAATGGGAACCTGTCTTAAGTTTAAAAATCCTTTTGTATCACATGGATTTAATATATAGAGGTGATTTTGCTCTCACCTCATTGTCTTTGCAAGTTTGGCACCACCTGTCATGAAGAAAGCATGGCCAGTTGCACCTTACCCCAGAAAAAAATATATTGCTTCTAATCTCTCTGTGTTTGCCCTCTCAGTTGCCTGACATGTTGCTGGAAGGAACAGCTCCGGCAAGGTCTGCTTCTTACTTGCTTTTCACCAGTCAGAGCGGTGTCATATTACTTGAAATTTTGTCAGGGTGTCCTTTTACAGAGTTTCAAAGTTCTATGCAGTGGGCTAGTGATTACCCCGATTACCCTCACATTCAGCTTGCAGCTGTCATCTATCTGGTGTTCCCAGCTGTCACCTGTCTTGTGTAGCACATTGGATCTATTTTGCAGCAAGCGTTACTTGCTGGTGAGGGTGGATTGGCTACAATTCAGGGCATCCTTTCTTGACCTTTAACATGAATATGGCTTCAAGGTGAAGCTGATGAAAGTGTTCAAGAGGCCAGATGTGACATTTGTGTTAGGGCCAAGCCTTACAACTAGATAGAAAAAAGCTATTTAAAGATTTGGAAAGATGAGGCCGGAAGACCTTAGCATTTGAGAGGCTGGCGGAAAGCACTGTAGGAGGCAGGAAATGATAATAGGAGTGTCCCTATAAATGCCCCGAGTGTTATGTGATGATGCTTTGTGAATTAAAATAATTACGGAACTCTTGGATTCTTTTTGGGGGTGAGCAGATTTAGCACCTGTGACAATTGTATTTTGGAGTTTTAAAATCACTTTTACTAAAAATAAATATTACAACTTTTAGAATAGCCTCCCCCCACCCCCATGCTGCTCCTTTGAGGCAGCACAGTTTAGTGATTGTCCTGGCTTCAGATCTGGATCAGTGATTTGGTGTATGCGATCTGATCTTTGTGTGCTTCCTTTTCTTTATCTGCAAAGCGTACTAGGAGGAGCTTCTACCTTACTAGGTTGTAATAATTAAATGAGTTTTTTAAACAGGTTTCTTAGAGCCTTGCCTGCTACCTGGTAAGTGCTAGTTAATGTTTGTAAACTAAAGGATGAATTCCTGACCCAGCCTCCAGCTTTTGCCCTTCTTTCAGGAGTTTTCAATGTGAAGGCCAGTGGTCCTCACATGGTCCGATCGCTCCCTTTTGTTTGCTCTGGCATTGGTTATTCATTAGAACACGAAACCACTGAGGCTGTGCATTAGTGGGGTGACATGATGCGTTTTCCACCCTTAAGGAGCATGTGCTTAGCTTTAAAAGGCAAATGTATATACAGTTCAAGGCGAATTGCAGTGAAGGCCAGGGGCATATAGACAAGAGTACCTGGGTGAGTCCAAGGAGGAAAACTCTATGGGATTTTGGATTGGGCTTTAAGGTACAGACAGATTTTTATAAATGGAACCATTGCTAGTAGTGTGCAGGGAAGGGATTATTGCAAGTGACGGTGCCTTAATGTATCTTAATGAGGAATTGCAGGATAACCAAGGAGTGGGTCAGGTGGGCAGGGAGTTAAGGTGGGGTCAGATTGCTTAGTGATTGGCAGCCAAAAAATAAAACGTTCAGGTGGCTCACATAGCTAACTTCCTAAGGGGAGCAATTGATGTAGCTTTCCTGTGTTCTGTGTTCATATGTATTAATGAGAAGGGATTAGTTGGCTTTTAAAGGTGGTTCCAGTTTGCAGATTTTATATTGGTGTCCACTGGGTGTAAAACTTTGTATCAAAGTTTAATGTACATGGAAAAAGGGCACAGATTGTTGGTGTTGAGCTTGCATTATTGTTCAGCCTCCATATCTACTTACTTGTGGGATTTATGTATTGTGTTGAGTGATGTGTCTTTTGGCTATACTACTCATTTTATAAAGCAAGTTCACGTTTTTATGGGTACATAGATTGTTAGGGTTTGTTAAATTAATATATGAAAAAACTTAGGTAGGGTCACATTCGCAAAGTGGTGATACCAAATTGACCTAGTTAGTTCACCCGAATTGCCAGGAATCCTGGGGCTAATTACTTGTACTGAATAGTAACTAAGATCTCAAGGAAGATGCAGATGTAGGTCTTCTAGGATTTAGCACAAAACTACCACCCTTGTAGTCCCCTGTGAGTATCATAGTATAGAGTGATTACATAGGTGTTATATAAGGTGGTGACTTCTGGAGAGAAATTTGCCAGACACGTGGAACACTTTTATGTTTATTTATTTAATTCAATTAAGCCAGTTAATTAATTTATTATTTTGAGACAAGGTCTTGCTGTATTTCTCAGACTGATCTTAAACTCTTGGGAAGATCAGCAATTACTTAGATACTGTTTCACTTTGGAAGAAAGTGGATAGAAGACAGAATGGCCAACACTGAGTCAGGTACACATGATAGTCTCTGTGGCTTATCTAGTAGTTTTTCCCTATAGGAGGGACTGTTATAATTAGTCATTAATAGAATTCTATTGCCCACTTGACTATTGGGATATTTATTCAACATTTACTGATTCAGAGCCATCAGACATAATTTAAAACTTTTCCCATGTGATTTACTTGAATTGGCTTACAAAATGTGCAGAACAAGATGTTTCCATATCATCATCTGTTTACCTTGTTTGTTTGTTTATTTATTTATTAATTTATTTTGAGACGGGGTCTCACTATGCAGTTCAGGCTGGCCTTGAGCTCACTTTGTAGCCCAGGCTGATCTTGAACTTGCAATTATCCTCCTACCCCAGCCTCCTGAGTGCTGGGATTACAGGTGTGTGCCGCCACGCCCGCCTATTTACCTTGTTTATTAAAGACTTTATATCTTTATTCTTCTAAAGATAAATACAACAAATTGTTTAATTGGCTTGGAGGACCCCTGCTTTTTGTTGTTGTTGTTAAACACATTGGTCTTCAATTTAAAAACACTGAGGATTCTGTAAAATGTAAGAGTACTGGGGTGGCTTGTCTTGCCTGATAGTAAATAGCAGGTGCTGTTTCATGGGAGCTTATTTAGCTTCTTCCTTACTTATAAAAACTTAGGACTTTTTCCCATGTCTTTCTGTAACATGGAGTGGTGGAATTAATATCCTTGCCAGGTGCCATTTAACAGTTTTTAAAAATTAAAATTATATATGAACTTAGTTGACAAAATCAGTAGGATAGAGACTCTGGTGAACATGTTTGCCTCATTCCTCATCACCCTTAAGTTCTGTACTCTAAATGAAACACATCTTTTTACATTTTTAAACATCTCTGCATTTCCAAACACTGATTAATTCCCATTTCTTGATTTCTTTTCCTTTGTAGACATTTTGAATTAACTTCCATACTTCTCCTTTTAAAGATGAGCTTCCTTAACTGTTACCTCTTAACATGCCCTACAGAACATGACTGGATGTAAAATTGGTAGTACAAAATAACTTTCCATTACTATTTTTAAGGCCTCACTCCTCTATTTTGTAGTATTCTTTATTACCTTTGAGAAGTCCTGTGCCAGTCTGATTCCTTCTTAAAAGAATATATGACTTCTTAGTTTTACTACTTCTTAATGTCTGCAAGATTTTAGAATCTTACCTAGTGTTATGGCTTGTATCTAGATGTGTCCCCAGAGCCTCTCACATTCTTAGGGCTTTTTGGAGGTCATTTCATCTATGGTGTGTGAATGTGGATTAAGGGTGTGTGATACTAAATGAGTCCACTAATTGGAATTGGCATAGTTCTGGGTGTGGCCAAATGGATTTACAAAAGACCCAAACCCCACCAGGGGTGTGGGTGGCCTTACCCAAAAGGTTTGTACCCTGGAAGGGATAAAAGGGGAAAGTAGGCTTGCTGTTCACTGCCTTCTGCCTGCCACACCATGTACTGTTTCTCCTCTGTGGTGTCCCTCTACCACGCTGCCTTTCCTTGGAGACAGCTGGCTATGGACTAAAACCTTTTGCAAACTGTGAGCTGAAATAAATCTTTCCTCTTTTAACTTTGGATGTTAGGTATTTTGTCTCAACAGAGAGATCTAGACACCTAGATATCTTTAGTTTTGAAGTTTCATTGTTTGCAAGTATCTAGTATACCTGAAAGATAAATTCCTGGCAGGAGAATACTTGCTTTAAAAGCTGGGTTTGCTTAAAAAGCATTTAAAATTTTGGTTGACATCATCTACTCGAAAGAAAAATTCTTTTATTTGGAGACATCTTCTCAGCTAAGCTGTAACCATTCTCAGAAAGCCTGGCTTTGGCCCAGCTTTGTGCCAGTCTGTGTAGTTTTTTTATTCTTAGAGCTCTTACTGTATGCCATTTATTTTGTTTTATTTTATTTTATTTTGTACATGTTTGCAGTACATAGTGATTACATTCATGTATATAACACATTTTAAAGAAGAATTTAAAATGTGTTCTGTACATCTTTCAGAGCTAGCACTGTGGTGTGTCATAGTCCTCTCCCTGCCCCCCATGTGAGCTTGCTTGCATATCATGCATGTACTTCTCACTCACATGTCCCATGTCTTCTCCTTTATCTATTAACCACCTCAAAAAGTATAGCCTTGCTCACTAATTGGAATAATTAGTTTTACTGATCAGTTATTCGTAGATACTAAGTCACTGCTAATTACGTGACAGCAGCTGATTGGTAGGGTGAAGAGTAAGAACTATAGATGAAAAGTTCAGAGTCATTTTAGGAAGGAAGTTTAAAGTGTAGGAACAGAATCAAGCCATTGATGCAAGTATTGCCAGAGAAAGCAAGGAGGCTGTGGGCAGCATCCTGGTGGGGAATGCCAGCATTGAGAGGCAGGAAAAGAAGCAACTAAGGAAATGCTGAAATAGGCAGATAAAAGTGCTATAAGGAAACTAAAACTCAGTGGAGAGAAAGGCTTTAGGAAAGAAGGCGAGGTCAGCATAACTTGCAGTGTTTATGTGGTCACATTCTCTCGCCATTTAGCTTCAGGAAAGTTACGGAGGCTTAGATTGTTTTGAGTAGTCATATCTTAAATTGGTTTCTTCACTTAAGGATCATATAACACATTATTTCGGGAGAGGTACAGTGATGAAAAAGCTACCAGTTTTTTAGACATAAATTTGTTCATTTTTTATCATAGTTATTGAGAGCGTGAATAGGCAAGGAAGAGCTAGACTCTGGGACCTGCCTGGCATTACAGACTGACACTGATATATGGCTAAATAACAAGCAGGATTGGGGTAAAGGTGACGATGACGTAGGTAATAATACCTGAGGCCTGGGCTGGACATGAACTGCAAGGAGCTACAAGGCTGAAGAGAGTTCTGTCAGGGTATAGAGCCATCAGGTTTGGGCAGGATGATAGGATAAAAGGAGTAGAGGAAATGTATTGTGACAGGAGTGCTGTGACACCACTCTTGTGATCCTAGAGGCAGAGCTTACAGTGAATTAGAATATTTACCACACCTGATGAGGAATGAGGAGGTTAGTTTTGCTAGGTGAAATAATGAACAAAAATGGTAGGAGCTGCATGAACATTGCAGAAGAGATCATTTTAATTGCCAGAATCACAAGTCATACTTTTATTACTGTATTCTGGTAGTGTGGTAGAAAAACCAAATATGGTGAGTTTTTAAAAAGTAATGGCTTTTGTAATATCACTGAGCAGCATTTTCAGTATTTTGGGAATAGTGGTAATGTGGCTCAGTACTCTGTTTTTAACACTGTTTCTGAAAGCTCAATTTCACTTTAAGGTTTGTATTTATTAAAATGTGCAGTGTGATACTTTTGATCTTTTAAGAAATGTGGAGAACTGTTTTTTATTGATATGTGGATACCTATAGAGGTAATTGGATAATAGTGGTGTAAATACCTAAAGGTCCCAGGGTTAGTATGATAAACCAAGCACAGAAAATGTTCATCCTTTAAAGGCTTTCTTGTCTTGCTGCATTGTGTCCACTGAGTTTAATGACTTGATGTGTGTTTATTAAGAAGTACCAGTATCTTCCCAGGACTATCAAAGGTTGCAGGTATTTTCATGGACAACATTGGGAATATTTTGTTTCTTTCTCCTTCAGTCAGTGAATCATACTCAGTTTTTGGACTTGTACCTTAACAATTTTTATTAGCAGTTGCTTAAAGAACAAATCAACTACCTTGCTGTGAACTGAAAGAATAGCTAGGGGTTTTTTGTTTTGTTGTTTTGTTTTGTTTTTTGACAAGACACCTGTGAAAAATAGCTACTTAATGGTGAAAAACATGTATTTTTTATGGGAAACCATGGATTCTTACGGTTAAGGAGATTGTTTTATCTGGGAACGGTCCATGTTTATACCTCTTACCTAGCTGTCACCTCCACCTTCACTCTAAGAAATGTTCTCATTTAAACAGTATTTTAATCATTCTAATTGTGGGTCACATTTAGAGATTTATGGTCTTCACTTGAAATTGTTCAGTGAAGATGTACCTTAGTAGTGAAAAGAAACCAGTGCTTGGTTTTGTCACTAAGAAGTTTAGAGATACATGAATAAAGTTCCTTTTTCCGACTTCCCAGCAAATACATTATAAAAAGTGCTATAACTTGTACTGAGATTCATAGTTGTTATTTGGATTCAGCAGGTGCATTATGAGAGTGTCTTACCAGAGGAATAACAGCCTTTCAAATGAATACATCATTAATGTTTCCTGCTCTGAGAAGGAGAGAAGTATGGTTCTGTACACACTTGGATTTGTGAAATTGTGAGCATGAAACATTTATCTAACAGTGACCTAAATCTTGACTGTTTTCCTTTCTCCCATCAGCACTAACATCCTGAGGGAGCCTGTGTGCTTAGGAGGGTGTGAGCATATCTTTTGTAGGTAAGTAATTATAGGTTGATATATAAAATGTAACTCTATTTCTTTTTAGATAGCAATCCTGTGACCATGTTGATAATTGTATTTCATGTTTGTATATCTTTCATAATCTGTAACTGACTATACATGATCTCATTTGGATCCTTATTACTGTCTTAGTTTACATGTAAGAAAATAATGTTCAAAGGGTATATAACTTGTCCAAAGTTACAGAGCTCAGTTAAATAGCTTTACTAAGTTTGAGCGGGGGTTAATGTCTTCTATAATCCAAGTGTATCTGTTTTAAAAAAAATCTTCCAGTTTTAAATCTAGACTTTCAAAACTATGAAAGTCTAGTTCTTGCAGGTACTAGTTTCCTAACACTGCCATAGCAAAGTATCAAGGCCTGGGTGATGTAAAACAGCAGATATTGTCTACACTTCTAGAGGCAAGAAGTTTAAAGTCAGGGTGTTGGCAGGGGTTGTTCCTTCTGAAGCCTGTGAGGAAGAATCTGTTCTATGCCTCTACGTTAGCTTGTCATGGGTCGCTGGCGATCTCTGCTGTTCCTTGGCTTATAGATACATTACTTTCCTTTCTGGTTCATGTGGCATTCTCCCTGTGTGCGTATTTCTTTCTCTGTCCAGAGTTCCCTTTTTTATACCAATTCCTGTTGGATAAGAGTTCATCCTAATTATCTCATTTGAATTTGATGATATACTAAAAGATACTATTTCCAAATTAAGTCACATTCAGAGTCACTGAGTAGTTGACCTCATCATCTTTTGGGAGGACACAGATTTTAATATGACAGTGTGTGGTAGTTTGAAGTTATGATTTTCCCTCTGCATCCACAGTCATGGATCGAAATATTTCTAAAAATGCATCTGTATGGAACATGGTTAGACTTTTCTTGGTTTTATTCCCTAAATAGTACAATAGAAGTGTTTGCATTGTATAGGTATTTTAAGTAATATAGAGATGAGTTAAAGTATATGTTAGAATGTGTAGATTATATTCAAATATTGTATCTTTTTGTTTAGGGACTTGAACAGCCATAGATCATGGTATCCATGGGGTGTATGGATGTAGGAAGGTCTTGGAACCAATCCCTTGTGGATACTGAGGGATCAATATTTTATATCAAGCCCTGATAAGAGTAATCCATATGCTATCTTTAAGATACAGTTCATTTAAGACATATGGCAGAGATATCAAACTTTGTGGTCTCAGACCTTTTTTTTTTTGGTGATACTAGAGCTTGAACCAAGGCCCTTGTACTGAAATCTATCCACAGCCTTTTTTTATTTACTTGGAAACAGATTCTCACTAAGTTGCCTCAACTAGGCTTAAACTTGCCCTCCTTCTGTCTTTGTCTCCCACATTGGTGGGATTACAGGCATACAGTATCATGCCCAGATCTCAGACCATTTTATACTTTCAAAATTGAGGACCATAAACAGCTCTGTGTGTGTGTTTACCATATAGAACTGAAAATTCTTTGTCTCCCCTTGTGCTGGGATTACGGGGGTGTATCAGTCAGGGTTTTACTGGAGAAACAGATATAACACAGGATGTACAAATTATAAGTTACAAGATTGGCTTACGACGGTCAGCCAGAGAGTTGTATGGGGAAGTGTGCACAGGGTGTCTGCACACTGAAGTCTGAAGGAGTCAGTCCAGGGTCTGGAGTTCACTGCAGAGTTCCGTGCAAGTCCATACCAGGAGGCCGATGAGCCTGCGACGGAAGGCTGAAGGATTCAAGGTGAAAGCCAAAGAGTGCTCTAGAAGCCAGGAGACTAAGTCCAAGCTGAAGGTGAAGACTGGAGCTCCTCCAAAAGGAGTGGAAGTACCTCTGTTCTTCTTCATTTCCCTTTTATATTATCTAGGTGATGATCCACCCTAGGGTGGCTCCTCTATATCCTAGGGTGGCTCCTCTACACTGTAGGGTGTAGAATTGCTGAGCCGATTGCTGAGCCAGGTTTAGTTATGCTTCTAAACTTCTCAAGTTGACATAATCAATCAACCACTACAGGGGGTGTGCTCCAGTAATGTTTATTTTTATGCCCAGCTGGATATTCTTTAAGAGCAATACTAATTTTTCAGGTTGAATGCTATGTGGAATCAGTATCAGTAATATTATACTGTTACATTAAAATTGTAGGCTTATACACAATTTCAAATTAATCTTTTACCCAGCATGATTTTATGATAATCATACATTGGCCTTTTGAAAATATTAGCTCATTGGATTATATAGATTGGCTGAGAAATTATATATTTGTGCACAATTCTGAACTAATATATATAATAGTTTTTGTTGTTGTTTTGAGACAAAGTCTCTATGTAGCCCAGGCTGGCCTCGAACTTGAGACCATCCTCCTGCCTCAGCCTCCCAAGTGCTGGGACTACAGATATGCACCACCACGCCTGGCCCTCTGTAGAATAATTTGAGAATAGTTACAAAATAAACACAGAATTTGGGTTGAACATCCTTGATCCAGTAATCTGAAATTCAAAATGCTCTGAAAGATGAGAGTTTTTGAGTATTGACGTGCTGCTGAAAAAGTTTCAGTACTCAGAAATTTTCAAGTTTGTAAATTAGTGAGGCTCATCTGGTAAAGTGTATGCAAATATTATAAACTCCAAAGTCTGAGGCATTTCTAGCCTCAAAGCATTTCAGGTAGGGGATGTTGAGCCTGTATGTAAAGCAGACCAAAGTAGTAGTGCAATGTTGGATAGACTACTTAACTAACTGGATCTCATTTTCTTCTGAAAATCAGCTGGTGGTTCTCAAGGAATGGATTGCAGATTATATTGTACTGGTATTCCTTCAGTAGTGCACGAGAATTAAGTTAAATTGCCTGAGTAATTAGTTTACATGTTTTTGTGTGTGTTGGAATTCCAAGTTAGAATTCTGTTTTGCTTTGTTCTCTTTTGAGGTAGGGTCTCACTTTCTTATCCAGTCTGATCTTGATCTCTTGATTTAAGAGTTCCTCTTGCCTCACTCAGCCTTGTGAATAGCTGGGACTATACCCAATGTGCCTGACGCAGTTAGAGTTCTTCACTTTAAGCAGAGACACTTATAGAAGTTCCTTTGCTTAAGAAATTGGACATTTATTAAGCTTGATGATCTCAAAGGTGTCTCCCAACTCTACTATTCATTTTCACTTTTTTCTGAATTATTTTGTGTCAGGAATCATGCTGAGAGCCAAGGATATAAAAAGTAGAAATGCTATGGGTTTTGAGGATAGTTCATATAATAAGAATGAATTCTCTGCTCCTATAAATGAGTGGGCTGCTTGAGAAGGTGTTGATTGGGGGAGATGTGGCTTTTACAGTTACCATGTTCCTCATTCCCAGCAGCACCCATTCATGAAGCTAAGAATGGAGTACATTGCGTAGGGTTTTGTTCTGGAATTCATAGATGTTTCAGGGGAGATTGTGAGCTCCCTAGCCCCCATTAAACAAGAGTATGTGTATATATATGTGTGCCTGTATATATTTAAGTTTGCAAAGCATTTGTAACTGCAAATATTAGGAAAACCTTTATTCCTGACTATGAGGTAACTTGGAGTGACTGAGTCTCTAGATTATAAAATTGTATGAAAGAATCAAAGATCTTGTCTCAAAAGCTCCTTTAAAACTATTACACACTTGTCCCAAAACAAAACAAAGGATACTTCCTGGCCCTCTTTGCAATGATTCTAAGTATTTCCATAAAATGGAGTATTAAGATTAGGTGAGAGGAGGTTAGGATTGCATGGCTACCTTGTGTTAGATACTGTATCTGTTTACATCTTTATCTGTACTTAGCTCTTTAGATGCTCTAGATTTGTTTGCAAGGAAAAATTATACGACTAACATCAAGCTAAATCAAGCCTCAAAGTAGTTTCATAGTAAATTACATCAATTTGAGATTTAGATTTTATGTTTCATGCTTTATAAACATACTATTTTAACAAATATTTCAGAATTTACCATTATATGTTAGAACAGCCTCTATTTTATTTACTCTTGTTCAAACTGTTTATTGTATACTTTCTGAAATTCAGATTCTGCTGAATATATGTGTGTGTGTTTTTTAAGTGATTGTGTAAGTGACTGCATTGGAACTGGATGTCCAGTGTGTTCCACGCCAGCCTGGATCCAAGACGTCAAGATAAACAGACAGTTGGACAGCATGATTCAACTTTGTACTAAGCTTCGAAATTTGCTACATGGCAATAACTTTTCAGGTAAAAAATATTACTGTCTCTTATTAAATAACTGATTACTTCATATTGATCACATAAAGAGTGTAAAAGATCTATCAGCAATTCTAAGATTTGTAGTTTTGTTGTTGTTTCTACTGTTTGACTCATTTTGAGAAATGACAGCAAAAAGTTCTCTTATTTTATAGATGGGAAACCAAGATTCAGAGAGGTTAAGTGGTCTTGCCTAGTCACATGTAGTTTGTATAAGAAGCATAAGAGATAGTCTATTTCATTTTCCCCTCCCTTCCTCCCCCTCTCTCTTTTTCTTTCTTGTTTTTTGGTTTCTTGAGACAGGAGCTTGCTATGGATTCCAGGCTGGCCTTGAACATACTGTTTATCCCAGGCTTGGCTCAAACTCATGGAAACCCTTCTGCTTCAGCCTCCCTAGTGCTGGGAGCTGTTTTTTTGGATTGTTAGTCCAGACAATTTTTCACTATCTTCTAATGGCTGCTTTTTGCAGTTATTCTGATTTCTGTAGAATATATGTGGAATAACGATTTTGTCATTAAGAGTGCTTAACTCAAATATACTTTTGCAAGATAGAATACAATATTCTTCCATGGATCACTCTTTTAGACTGAATTAATTAAATGAGCACATTTTGGAAGAGTGAAAAATCTAATACTCATTTTCTCTTCTATATGAATAGGAGTTAATGTTTTTCAAATTGTTCTTAGACTCTGTGTATTAACTATATGTCTTCCTATTGTGCTTTCTGCTGAGAACTAATTAACTGTGAAAAGAAAGTAAAGTGTTTTGAATCTCATAACTGGATATTGGAATTGTCTTTTTATTGACCAGATCATGCCATTTTATTTAGCATGTGCTTATAGGAGAACCTTTTCTTGCTTGGCAGGATGCCAAGAATGATTGATAATACTAAAATAAAATGGTGAATTTCTTTCTCTAAATCTTTTGTTCTTTCAATTCTGAAATGATGTATTACTGTCAGCTACTAAGATGAAGTTGGTTAAAGGAAGAAACACAGCAAATATTTTGAGTCTTACTGAGCATAGGTCCCTATTTTTAAGAGGAATTTAAAGTGTATAGTCTATCTGAAAAGTTTCCATCTGCTTATCTGGATCATTATATTAGTCTCCACTTTTTCAATGATAAAATATGCTATAGTGTTAAAGTTTTCTTACTTTTGGGTGTAGTTAATGCACACCTTTTTAGGGTGCTTTTAAAAATATATTGTGGTTGTAAACCCTTTCAAGAATACAATGAGGGAAAGAATTTTCAGTGTTTGTATCCTAGTTGAAAAGATCAGTGTGTAATATGGCTCCCCTCACCACCCCCCATGGGTCTGTGGGTTAATTCAGGATTCTCAATCAGAAATCCTTGCATCTTTGGCAATACTCCAAGTTGTACTTAGGGCAGGATCAGTGAGACTGTGAGTTAAATGTACCATCTGAACAGTGTTCATATCTTTGTGACAGTAGCTTTCATCAGATTTTAAGGCTGTGTAACTTGCTAGGCTTATTAGCTGTGCCTTGAAATTTGGGGTGCTACTTAGAGGCTCTCATATTTTGATATGACTTCTCTAGTTACTGTGTAATAAAAACTGGGTAGCTTAAACAAAAGACTATAAACCTGAGCTTAAGATGTATGTGAGATTGGTTCCATCCCCTCTGAGGTCCATGAGGAAGAATCTGTTCTAGCGCCATCTCCTTGGTTTGTTATTTAGCTGTCTTCCTGTTCACATGATGATCTCCCTGTACAAGTGTTTGTACCAACATATTTTATAAGGACCCCAGTAATAATCTACTAGGGGTCTATGCCATTCTAGGATACACACCATCTTCTAATTATGCCTGCAACGACTCTGTTTTCAGTTAGGGTTGCATTCTGAGGTAGTAGAGGTGAGGGCCTCAACATATAAATTTAGGGAACAAGAGGAGAGACACAATTTAACGCATAATAAGTAATATGACATTTTCAAAAATGAAAAACTAAGGGTAGAGTATCCTTTACAGGTTAACTACCATCAATTATGGCATGCTGGGGTACTGCGTACTTTGGAGTACAAGGAAGAGTAAGATAGACTCCTTTTCCAAAAATGTTATGGTAGTGAGTGATGTTTGAATCATTAGTATAGTTGTCACATAAATCCCTTAATACTTCATCATTAAGGAAGATAATTAAGACAATTGAGTTTAGAACAAATTTCTGGGTGGGCTTCTTACAGTACTGCCTTATCTAAGTAGAGGTAAAATTGGATGAAAGAATTAGGGCAATTCGTTTTCCGACTGGCATTTAGTGTTTATTTTCATTATAATGAGTAGATGAGAGTCCCTGAGTTCTATCCTAGCACCACACAAAAAAAAGAAAACAAAAAATAATAATAATCATTTTAATACTTACTAGACTATCAGTACTGCCTTCAATGTTACTCCTCGCTTCCCCTTCTGGGATTGAACCTGGGATTTTACACCTGCTAGGCAAGCACTCTACTGATAGCTATGTCTCCAGCCACTCAACATTACTTATTTTAAGATGAATTGGAATTTTAGATAACACAAAATCAGAAGTTTAGGAGCTAGACACTCATCTTAATCCCCTTAATATGTAGCTGAGAATATTGAGGACCTGGGTTACACAGGTCATTCATGTTGTAAGTTTCTTGCATATGTTTTTTTATGTAGAACAATGTTTTTGTTAAAAGTATGGATATTTATTAATTTTTTTTGCAGTGGATAAAGTTGGCACTGCTAGGACTAATTCATGTCCCAGAGACTAAATTAAAATAATTTTAAAGCAAATTCTCAGATTTTGGCTTACAGAATTCATTTTATAATTGTAATATCCTTCTTTGCTACCCTGATAAGAAATGACAACAAATCTAAAGTACGAATATAATGAAATATGTCTACCTGGGTATATTCATTTACATGCTACAAAGCTTTTTCTACTTTAATGTAAATGACATTGTTACCAACTTTTCCTCTCCCAGCCATCTCAAAACACAGAAGCCTTGAAGAGTATTTGGAATTGTTTTTCTGAAGCATTTTCGTTTTTTAACTCAAGGAGTATTGAGCTACCGTCCCTCCTACTCCCATGGTTTATTATATTTCAATTAGTTAATTAGTTTATGAGACAGGCTCTCCTCTGTAGTCAAGCTTGGCCTGTAACTCACTATGTGGCCCAGGCTAGTCTCAAACTTGTGATCTTTCTGCCTCAGCTTGTGGAGTAACTGGTACTGCAGGAACGTGTCCCTCCTCCCCTCTTTATAGTTTCAGTGCAGTGCCTTTGTGTTAGTTCATCTGTTAAGCACTTTCAAAAGTGTAAGTTAGACATATATATTAGGTAGATGCAATTAATAATTGGGAACAAGTGATGGTTGGTCCTTTTTGTAATGAGATTAGAAAATGATCTTATTATAAGCTCCAAAATTGTATCTCTGTTAAATGGTCAGTCACCTGTTGAAGATGATGAATTAAGTGAAATGGTTAAGCATCTTTCATTTCTTTTTACCTTTTAAAAAACCCTGTAGTTCACAATTTATCTTTCAAGTGAACCTTGTTACCTGCATTTATTATAAAATATATAATGACTGTAATTAAGGTGGGTAATTAGGAAGAAGTTGTCAAATCATGGACATTATATATATGGCATACTGGAGATAAAGAAGGCTGATTTATGTAATACTTGTCTAAAATGAGCTGCTAAAAACTCCCAATAGATTTTTCTCAGTTCAGTGTACTTTAAAGAGAAGAGATTGTCAGATTTTTCTGATCGGTGTTTATGGATAATTTTAGCTTATTCTTTATAACATAATCTGCTTTGTACTAATAGAGTTAAATTTAAAGGTTTTTATTTTCTCTCGAACCCTGTGAAATGAAATTAGACCTCGCAGGTGCTGGTCAGGTTCTATGGAACATGTTTGTGGTGTTGATGTTAAAGACACTTTGATTATTCTTTCATAGGATCATAATTTCCCTTTCTCTCTTCGGGTTTAGCTAGTCTTTCTGAAGTGATTACATAGTGTTTCATATATGCTATAACTTTTGATAATAGATTAAGATGAATGTTTGATTAGGTGTGCTGTTTTTTAAATAGAACTAAATACTACTTAACTTACAAAGTATACACTCTTTAGTAAAGACATTAATGTTGTACAGATGGTAAGCAGAGTACTTGATTTCTTTAATAAGGGACTAGTTAATCAAAGAGATTTCTCAGCTTCTGTTATGAAACCTGTAATAGAGAATAATTTGAAAGGCACACAATGCCCATCATTATGATCCTTTGATGTAGATTAATGGTAGTGAAATCATATTTTCTAATTGCTTCTCATTTCTGTAGTTTATTATTAAATTTTAAGAAAAACTTTGCAAGCAGCACCTTAGTAACATGTGCACATCTTTTCCTCAATATTTTGTGTTGTACTCTGAAATATTTAAATTGAGAGAACTAGAATTCTTTGAAATGTCAACGTTAAGAAATTTGCTATGTAGAGGGAAGGCTGATATTTTTCTTCCTGAAATGAATGTGATAATTTATTATGCTTAGAAACATTCACCCATTAAAAACTATTGTAGCTATGAATAGTATGATTTCTGTTTCAGTGATAGTATTGTTTTTGTTTTTATACTTTTGTCTTAGAGATGCTGCATAAAATTCAGAAATTTATAGTCGTGCTTGCAGTTGTGGGCTTACTTATACCAAATTAGATAATTAAAACCTTTTTGAGCAAAGATATTATTAGTGGATTATCAGTAAAAATTACTGTGTACATACAAATTACGTGAACGTTTCCTGTCTTCAGTAACTTCTTTATCTGTTGGGAAATTATGTACACCTGAATGTGAATCTGTTGTCCTTTTAGTTTTAGGGATTGTAGTCAGTTAAATGTGTTATTACTCCTGATAAGCCTTCCTTTTCCTTTAAGTGGCAAGTTCTCTGTTTGGTAAGGATTATAAATACTAAGGATTTCAGGATTTGAGTGATTCTTAATGGGAAATATTGTCACCTGTGTTTAAGAAATAAATTTTAAAAAATCAAATATAAGTTTTTACAGATTTACCTGAGGATTAACCTTTAAGTCTTTGTAATCCTGAGCCTTTCTTAAAAAGTAATCTTGGTAACATTTCATTTTGACCTTTCCTCCGGGCTTGAGGTTATGTAAGAAATGGCTTAGGTTTGAAATCTTAGCACAGCAAAAAAAGAGACCTTGTTGAATTTAGATGTAAAGTCCCAGTGTGAGTGGGTACCTCATTCAGATCGTTGTGATTTCCAAGATTCTGTCTCAGTAATACTTTGTGGACCAGATGATGATGTTCAGCTTCAACAGGGGAAGGACGGAGCAGCATCTGCCTTTATCAAGATGAACCTATTGCCTCTAGTTATTTTATGGCTTTACTGCTGTAAGTCTAATGCTCTCGCCTCAGCAGGCAGACTTGTGAAGTTTTTATTTTTATTTTTTTTGAGACAGAGTCTTGCTATGCAGTTCAGGCTGGCTTTGAGCTCACTTTGTATCCCAGGCTGGCCTCAAACTCACAGTGATCCTCCTGCCTCAGTCTTCTGAGTGCTGGGATTATAGGCGTGCGCCACCATGCCCAGCCTCATTTTTAAATTTCATACTTTCTTGTTAAAAGTTTATTCTTGTATCCCACAGGTTTGTTCTAGGATGAAAATAGTCTGTTTCGATACAGTATTGTTTTTAACACTCAACTATTGTGCATTGGCCGAAATGTGTGCTAAACTCTGGTTTGGGTACTGTGTTGGTTACTTTTCTCTCATTGCTGAGACAAAATACCCGATGTTTAAAATTAAGAAAGGAAAGGTTTATTCAGCTCACAGTTGGTGGAGGTTTCAGTCCATAATCAGTTGTCTCCAAGGCAGCATGGCAGTTGGCAGAGAGAGGCAGTACTGTTCATGGTGGCGGAAGACAGCAAAACAACAGACCTATGAAGTTTTTAGAGTATAGTTTGACTGAAAGGTTTTTTTGTTTGTTTTTTGGTAGACAAGTATCACATCTGAAGTTCCTACATACTCTATCACTGAGCTATATCCCCAGCCTTAAAATTAATTTTTCTGTCCCTTGTATAAATAGAAGAAACATTGCTGTTTCCACCATCAAAATACTTGCCCTTGCTTTGAACACACACTTACCCAGTCATTCTTGCTACTGTCTGAAGCAGCTCTGGAAGTCTCTTTTCGTGAGTGTCTTTAATTGAGCTATCATAGCTGACTTGGCATTATGAATTAATTCAAAACATTTACCTTTCATGGTCATTTTGACTTCGGGGAAGAGCCAAAAGTCCATTGATGCCAGATCTGGTGAATAACATATTTGGGGACACACTAATGTTTTTATGAAGTCATTGGATAGCAGTATTAGATATGAAAGAGTACTTGCAAAACTGCTTCAGAAAGTGACAAGAAAAATGGGATATGTGTTCAAACTGTAGGGGGAGTATTTTGAGGGGAATCTATATCATTGTAATAACTTTCAAAATTTAAAACATTCACCATATATTTTGATAATAGTGGTATACCCAATACAGAGAAAGCTAGATCATGTGGTATTATTTTTAGTTTTTGTACTGAGCCTTTAATTTAAAAAGAATAGATATTGGATTTTGTCAGATTTTTTTTTATGTATTTGTGGAGATCATGATACCGTTTTCCTTTAGTTTGTTGATACAGTAAATACGTTAATTTATAAATGTGTCTTTAAACATCAAGCATTAATGTCTTCTACTTATTAAAATCCACACCTATCCTTTTCTCTTTTTTTAATTTTGCTTTTCCTTTCTCTCTTCTTTAATTTTGGACTATCTTTTTTGTCTTCAGCTCTTATCTACTCTAGGTGAAATATGTTTGATGTTTTATTTTCTGCAGTACCTCTGATCTCTGGAACACTGTCTAGCACAAGGTAGCAGTCAGTACATACGTGTCAAGTGAGAGGCTAAGTACCTGCTCTGGAGGAGGCCACAGTCTAGAAGTAGAGAAAGACAAATGCAAATAAGAGGTGACAGACATTAGTAGGACTACAAGCAGAAGTCTTTGGGAGCTCAAGATGAGAGAGTGATCCTTTTAACCAATTACTTTCCTTTCTTTCTATCAGATTTGAAAGAAGATACATCTAGGACAAGGTTATTTAATGATGCAGAAAACAAGAAAAAATCAATAAAAATGTGGTTTAGTCCTCGAAGTAAGAAGGTCAGGTATGTTATGCGGAAAGTTTCAGTGCAAACCCAGCCCCAGAAGACAAAAGATGAAGATGCTCAGCAAGCCTCAGTGTATGAATTCGTTTCCGCAACTCCTCCTACAGTTGTTTCTAAGAGCCCTGTAAAAGCTTCTACAGCATCTGCAAAAAAGCAAAAAAAGAAAACTTTAGCTGAAATTAACCAAGAATGGAATTTAGACACCAAGAAGGAAGGTGGTGAACTTGATCCCAAAGAAGAATTTAAGGAAAAGCAGGTGTCCTTCTGTAGCCAGCCATCCATTATTGGTAGTCCACAGGTAAATGGTGAAATAGACTTACTAGCAAGTGGCTCCATAACAGAATCTGAAAGTTGTGGAAGCTTCACTGAAGTCTTTCTACCATTGGCTGAGCATATAGAGTCTCCAGAAAGTGACAAGAATGAAGTGACTCCTGAAAAAGGCTGTGAAAATGATATTACGTCTAAGCTGTCTTTGCCATTAAGTCATAATGGGAAACGTGAACATTGCAATAGACTTTCTAGGCCTGTTTCTAAGAAGTGTAGAAGCAGTATTCCAAGCACCACTGGAGATGTTAGCCAAACAGTACTCTCAGAAAACATATCATTGCTTGACTGTTCACCACCAGCTTCGAGCAAACCTAAAGCCGATGACACTTTGAGGGAAAATGATAATATATCAGATGACTCTGTTAGCCTTTCACCATGTACACTACCTTCTACACTGAATAGTTCCAGTTATAGACGACTGATGTCAAGCCCCACTGCAATGAAGCTGTACCCCCATGACTTTATGGCCAGAAAAAGAAATCATAGAGGAGAGACTTTGCTTCATATTGCTTCTATAAAGGTAGGATGTTTATTCTAATACAGAGAATGAAACTGTTAGTTAGCTTTCTGTTACTGTACCAAATACCTAAGAGGATCAGCTAACAGAAAGAGAAGGTTTATTATGGTCCATAGTTTTGGAGCCACTATTGTATGAGTGACTAGTCTCATTGCATTGGGCTTGTGGCACAATATCATGGGAGTGAATGACGAAACAAAGCCCTTCACCCCACACCTGGGAAGCGAAAGGGGCAAAAAGGGACAAGGGTGGGGGCCTACTTTGCCCTTTGAGGGCCTGCCCCCAGTGACTTGAAGGCCTGCTGCCAGGGCTCAGTCCTTAGTATTTCTGATACTATCGTTCCGGTGACCACGTCTCCAACACAAGAGGCTCTGAGAGACACTGGAGAGGAAAACTGTAATAGTGACAAGCTGTAAAGCAGTTTCTTTGGGGTTCATGGGAATTAGGCTAAGATTACTGCTGCAGATTTGACACTTCTGGTTCACTTCACTGAAACTGCCTGTTTACCTCAGCACAGTGGCCCCTGACTCTGGGAAGCAAAATCGTGTAGGAGAAAGCCAACATTTATTGATTATTTTGTAGCTCCTTTGCCAAGTGCTTAGGCCTCTTTTTTGTTGACCATTTCTTTGCGTGAAAAATGAGTGCAGCAGAGCTAGAGGCAGTGGGAGAGGGGATAAGCTTCTCTCTGTTTGACGTTCCCTGTAGGCATCCCCTGTATCTGGAAGGGTGGAAGATGTGGTGTGTCCAGTTCTCCAGTGACGCAGCCATTTCCCCATTGGAAATGTCTCCTGCAGTTTGCCGCAAAAATGCTGCTAGTCCTGTGCCTTCCAGTCAGCTCTTTTACTGGCCTGTTTACTGAAGTTAATTCTCTCTGATTACTGCTTTAGCACCTGGTGATCCTGTTCTTCTCTGGAGCATGGCCTGTTTTCTGAGCAGGAGGTTCCACTGGCAGGGTTAGTCTTTGCAGTACAACGAGTGAAAGGAAGTGGGAAGCACCACATCCTTTTAGACCATTAGACTGCTCTGGACTTTATGAAAATGTCAGAAAAGTATCATGTGGTGGCGCTTAGTATGACATTAGTGTAACTTTTATGTTCTCTTGTGACTTTGTATGGTAAATTCACCCAGGATATCTCTGGGGTTTGGCTGGATAGAACTGTGAGGCTTGGAAAGAAGGAACTCTTTGGAAGCTCCTAAAAGTGAGGCTGGCAGGGCAGCAGAAACAGAACCTGCAGTAGACATTGAGTGTGGTCCACTGGTTTCTCTTTTTGTGTGAAGAAAGGGAAAAGTACAAAAATGAGTGTCTCCCAACATTTAGTGGCTTTTTCCCTTTTGCTTTTATTCCAAATTAATGTAGTGAACTTAGTACTGATGCCAGTGGGAGGAGGGGAGAAGGTACCACTGGCCATGCTGAGCGTTTCATGGGAGATTCTTGGACAACTCAAATTATTGAAGTTGGTTTTGGTTATGTTTCAGTGTGATTTCTGCAAAGCATGACTTAGAAGGTAGTCTTTTTATAATCATCTTTGGATAAATAAATATATGTACACAAACTATTATAATCTTAACCTTACAGTGTTCTTGATTTTACAGACATGAGTAGTATAATATTTAATATTTGGTTTCTATGTTTTGCTTTTTGGGAAGTTTCATACCATTAGGCAAATATCCACTTAGGTTAGTCAGGAATTTTTCTTGCAGCTATAAGAATAATTTGTCTTTTTATGGCACATGCACGCCTGTAACTTGGGGCAGGAGGATTCCTGTGAGTTTGAGGCCAGCCTGAGCAACATAGTGAGTTCAAGGCCAGCCTGAACTACAGAGTGAAAGCCTATCTCAAAAAAAAATCTTTTTGGGGGCTGGGGATTTAGCTCAGCGGCAAAAGCGCCTGCCTGGCAAGCGCAAGGTCATGAGTTCGGTTCCCGGTACCGGAGAAAAACCAAAAAAAAAAAAAACAAACAAACAAACAAAAAAAAAAAAATCTTTTTAAATGAGGATCTCTAGACCAAGAGATAGAGAGAGGGAGGAGGGATGGAGAGGGATGAAAGGAAGAATTAAGATGTGTTATGTACATGTACCAACTCCTCATGATGAATGTAATCATTATTGGAAACATATAGTAATAAAAGTAAAAATTAAAAATAAACGAGGATCTCTAGAACCTAGAGTTTAGAGCAGGGTTTGGTGAACTTTTTTAAGGATGTGGTCAACTATTCAACTTTGTAAGACACTCTGTATCAGAACTGTTCATTTCTTCTATCTTAAAGCAATATATAAATGAATAAAACTTTCATAGAAAATCAGGTGGCTGACCCAAGGGCCCTAGTTTGTGTTATCTTGGTCTAGACATGGAAAACAGCTACAGTAGAATATTAAAATAGGAAAAGTAGTGGCACACTGCTGTCTTAGGGGATTTTCTTCATTGACTTACTCGTGACTGCTTCATATAAGTTTTATCGGATTGTCAGTTTACTTAAAAGGCTTGCCAGAATTACATTTACCCATTTTCAGCGAGGTGTGGCACATGCCTATAACTCTAGCATACTAGGAGGCTAAAAAGTAGGAGGATCACAGGTTTTATAGTCTATCCTGGAGAACTTAGTGACTTAGTGAGACCCTGTCCCAACATTTTAAAAAGGGCTGAACTTAATGTGAAAGCTCCAGTACCAAGAAAAAAAAAATTGTTCCTTTAAGCTTAATCATCAAACACTATTTTCTTCATCATTTGGCAGATTCTGATACATTTAGAAAAATCTCACTGATACTTTTCAAATCATGAGTTAACTGTAGTGTTTTTATAAAAAATTTCTATGAGCTGAACATATCCTGTCACCTAGGTTTGATTTTTGTTGTTGTTGTTGTTGTTGTTGTTGTTGTTGCACGAATGCTGGGAATACCACCACCATCAACAACAAAGCCCCCAAAATAAAACAACAGTGGATTTGTCAATACTATGTGTATCTTTTTTAGAAATAATTTTAATCTTATTCTTATCCTAATTTTCTCATTTGTAGCTAAGAATGAGTAATCTTGATGTGCTAGGAAACAAATACTGCAATTCTTTTGTTTTCCTGTGTGTTTTGTGTGCACTTTCTTCAGTAAAGAATTTGAAAGGGGTTTAAAGTTGAAGCTACCATAAAAATGGAACAAGGAGCAGGGAAAGAGCAGAGTACTACTGCATAATGAGTTTAGATTTGGTGACCTTTACTGTGGCCAAAGAAAATAAGGGGAAGTACTAGATCTTTTTGCTAGCAAAAGGTAAGGTTTTTCTTGGTGCTGCTTGTTATAGTTTTTTTTTCCTGGAGCTGATTGGTAGACTTCTAGTTTCCGTAGTTCCACTTGTTCTTCTTGAGTTTCAGGAGGCACCGTTGTTCCCCTGTCCATGATTGGGCTGTACACTGAGGGCAGAGTACAGCAGTTTTTGTCTTTGCTGGGTTTGCTTCCCGTGCTGCAGGTCGAGCTTTTTGGAGTGGTCCCTCGACTTGGGCATGTTATTACCAGCATTCTTTAACACCTTGCTCCAAACCTACTTGGAGGTGTCATTTGGGCCATAACCTTTCCATATCTACCACCCTTGTGGCCACTGCTTGTCTTTACTTTCCCTGAACACTCTTGCTAGTTTCCTGTTGCTTCCAGATCAAACCATCACTAGCTTAGTGACTTACAATGTATTTGTTTGTGTTCGTGGTGCTGGGGATCAAACCCAGGGCCTTGTGCATGCAAGGCAAGAGCTCTACCACTGAACCACATCCCCAGCCCTAATGACTTAAAATGTACAAATTAATTTTCTTATAGTTCTGGAGGTCAGAAAGCTGGCATGGGTTTCACTATGCTGAAATCAGTCTGTCAGCTGTTAGTTTGTGCAGGCTGTAGGGAGGATCAGTTTTCCTCCTCATGTAGGTGGTTGGCAGGCACAACACAGTTCTTGTGATAGGATGGAGATCCTGATTTGTTGGCTTTCAGTTGAGGGCGCTTTGAAAATTTTAGAGACTGTTACATTCCTTAGTTGGTAGCCGTCTCTTTTTTGTTTTTGAAACAGGGTCTCACTATGTAGTTTAGGCTGACACTGAACACACTGCGTAGCCCAGGATGGCCACAACTCACTGTGATCCTTCTGCCTCAGCCTCCAGAGGTGCTGGGATTGCTAGTCTGTGCCTCCACGCCTGGCAAGTGACCCTCTTTCTTCATCTTCAAATCCAGCAATAATAGCCTGAGTCCTTCTCACATCCCTTTCTTTGAAAGGAAAAAAAATAAAACACAATAAAAATGATACAGAATTTCAAAACAAGATGATAGGAAATCAACAATGGTTATTATATTGCATATTGCTGTCTTCAAAGTAGTTTCTCAGATTACCAGATACAGGCATGCAAAATTGATCAAACAATATAAGCACTAACTGTTCCTTTCAATGAACTAGTAGAAATTAGTAGTGTAAATTATCTTAGCTATCTTGTGTGTATATATATATATATATTTTTTCCCCCTTCTTTTCTCCTTTTCCCCATCCCAGTTGTTCTTTTCTTTTGAGCAGTTTCTTTCCCTTTCATAATAACTATTATACCTTTTGGATTTTATTTACTCTTTCAGTTTCTTACACTAGGGAGACAATACGATGTTTACACATGTGGGTCTCATTTATTTCACTTATCAGTGTGGTCTCCAGTTGCGTCCATTTACCTATAAAGCCTTCTAGTTTATGTTTCTTTATAGCTGAGTAATACTCCATTTCTTAAAAATACCACATCCTTTTTATCCATTCCTCAGTTGATGGGCATTTGGATTGTTTCCAAGACTTAGCTATCACAAATCATGCTGCTTTTTACTGAAGTCACTTCCTTTTATCTTACCCTGCTTTCCTTCAGAACTTCTTGGAGGCAGTTCCCTATATGTCAGCCAGAGTGGTTAGACCCAAGCCAGAACGTGGCAATTCTCTGCCGCCTCCCCAGTCTGTAACTCTCTGTACCCCTATTGTTCGAACATCTATAACCCATGTTCCTACT